GAAGGGCTGCTGAGGCTGAGTCGCCAATGAGGGCACCTGTATGAAAGATTTTATATGGCAACACAGAAGGGCTGCGGACGCTGGATCGCCAATGAGGCTCTTGTGTAAAGGTTGTATATGGCAACGTAGAAGGGCTGATGGGACATGGTCGCCAATGAGGGCGCCCGTGTGCAAGTTTGGATATGGCAACGCAGAAGGGCTGCTGAGACGGGGTCGCCAATGAGGGCGCCTGTGTGAAAGATTGTATATGGCAACGCAGAGGGGCTGCTGAGACGAAAGATTGTATATGGCAATGCAGAAGGGCTGCTGAGGCTGAGTCGCCAATGAGGGCGCCTGTGTGCAAGATTGTATATGGCAACGCATTAGGGCTGCAGAGACAGGGTTGCCTATGTGAAAGATTGCATATGGCAACGCAGAAGGGCTGCTGAGGCTGGGTCGCCAATGTAGGAGTCTGTGAAAGATTGTATGGCAATGCCGAAGGGTTGCTGAGGCTGGGTCGTCAATGAGGGCGCCTGTGTGCAAGATTGTATATGGCAACGCGGAAGGACTGCTGAGGTGGGGTCCCCAATGAGGGTACCAGTGTGAAAGATTGTATATGGCAACGCAGGAGGACTGATGAGGCTGGGTCGCCAATGAGGGCGCCTGTGTAAAAGATTGTGTATGGTAATACGGAAGGGTTGCTGAGGCTGGGTGGCCCATGAGGGCACCTGTGTGAAGTGCAAGGCAACGCAGAGAGGCTGCTGAGACGGGGTCGCCAATGATGGCGCCTGTGTGAAAGTTTGTGTATGGCAACGCAGAAGGGCGATGAGGCTGGGTCGCCAATGAGGGCGCCTGTGTGCAAACTTGTATATGGAAACGAAGAAGGCTTGCTGAGATGGGGTCGTCAATGAGGGAGCCTGTGTGAAAGATTGTATATGGCAATGCCGAAGGCTGCTGAGGCGGGGTCCCTAATGAGGGGCGCCTGTGTGCAAGATTGTATATGGCAACGCAGAAGGGCTGCTGAGGCTGAGTCGCCAATGAGGGCACCTGTATGAAAGATTTTTTATGGCAACGCAGAAGGGCTGCGGACGCTGGATCGCCAATGAGGCTCTTGTGTAAAGGTTGTATATGGCAACGTAGAAGGGCTGATGGGACATGGTCGCCAATGAGGGCGCCCGTGTGCAAGTTTGGATATGGCAACGCAGAAGGGCTGCTGAGACGGGGTCGCCAATGAGGGCGCCTGTGTGAAAGATTGTATATGGCAACGCAGAGGGGCTGCTGAGACGAAAGATTGTATATGGCAATGCAGAAGGGCTGCTGAGGCTGAGTCGCCAATGAGGGCGCCTGTGTGCAAGATTGCATATGGCAACGCATTAGGGCTGCAGAGACAGGGTTGCCTATGTGAAAGATTGCATATGGCAACGCAGAAGGGCTGCTGAGGCTGGATCGCCAATGTAGGCGCCTGTGAAAGATTGTATGGCAATGCCGAAGGGTTGCTGAGGCTGGGTCGTCAATGAGGGCGCCTGTGTGCAAGATTGTATATGGCAACGCGGGAGGGCTGCTGAGGTGGGGTCCCCAATGAGGGCACCAGTGTGAAAGATTGTATATGGCAACGCAGGAGGACTGATGAGGCTGGGTCGCCAATGAGGGCGCCTGTGTAAAAGATTGTGTATGGTAATACGGAAGGGTTGCTGAGGCTGGGTGGCCCATGAGGGCACCTGTGTGAAGTGTAAGGCAACGCAGAGAGGCTGCTGAGACGGGGTCGCCAATGAGGGCGCCTGTGTGAAAGTTTGTGTATGGCAACGCAGAAGGGCGATGAGGCTGGGTCGCCAATGAGGGCGCCTGTGTAAAAGATTGTGTATGGTAATACGGAAGGGTTGCTGAGGCTGGGTGGCCCATGAGGGCACCTGTGTGAAGTGTAAGGCAACGCAGAGAGGCTGCTGAGACGGGGTCACCAATGATGGCACCTATGTGAAAGATTGTATATGGCAACACAGAAGTGTTGCTGAGGCATGGTCGCCAATGGGAAAAGCAAAGTAAGTTCATGGTTAGGTTTGAGACGTGTAGGGTTTGTTAGTAGTTTCCATCTACACTGAAAATAGATGTGGAATGACAACGAAGGACTGTCTTGTAGAGCAGATCGAGGTTCCAAGTCCTCACTACAAAGTATATTACTGTTTGGACATCTGGATAATGTGAAAGGTACACTTCGTGTGGCTTCTACGGGTTAGAAAGGCTTCATAAACCACGCTAACTACTCTTTAAGCAATTGATTTTAGTGCAAACCTTAAAGATCATGTAAAGTATTGGCGCATAAAAAGCGAGAAAGTTGTAAAATACGAAATGTCCTAACTGATGCTAATCCTTCCAACCCTAACCTTTTCTTTTGATAATTACTTTCTTTCCAACCCTAAACTTGTCCATCCTAACCCTAATCTAATGAAACCTTACCATCTCGGTCCTAACCTGTGTCGTATGGCACAAAACATATTTTCGTCCCTTGGGGAGTTTTTGTTCGACGTGTCAACTCTGATGAGATTATCCGATGTAACATGGCTCACCAATCTTCCATGATGAGCTTTTGTTCGATGTGGCAACTCTGATGACGTTGTCCAGTGTGACATGGCTCGCCAAACCTAATCCTTACATTATAGTAACCCTACACACACCTTACTAAACTTGTGATTAGCATCATTTAGACAAATTTAACCTATTTAGTTACGAGAGAGGAGTCTGGAGCGTGGAAGTGTGGTTCAGGGGCCCCCTTTACTAATTGTTGTTTGGTCTTTGGGAGCAAAAGAAGAACGGAAGCGAAGTGGAGAGCAGAATCGACTGAGGTGGCTAGAAGCAAGGGAAAGGTAGAGCAGATGCCCAAAGGTTGAGAGGCCGAGCAAGGCTCGAATGCAAAGGCGCAGATCTAAGAGGAGGGCGGGGGGACTAAAAATGGTTTAAGTGGTAAACCGGATAAGACCACTGGAAGGTTCTTAACAGAGCTAGAGTGGCAGGCCAGAGAAAGTTCCATCATTATGGAATCCGAGGCCATACCTTTGAACTATTTCCAATCCTATCACTGATAGACACCCAATGTGCAGCCATCAATGATATAACCTCTCCCATTACCAATAACCGTTGGAGTGCCACAGGGCAGCATCTTGGGATCTATTTCTTATATACATCAATGATCTGCCTAATGTCACTGGTGTTGTGTGTTGCTGAGGAAGTCTTGGTTGTAGGGTTGATATAAAGCCATTGCTTGGTTACTGACTTTAATACTTAAACTGATACATGACTAGCAGCTTCCACGTTGGTGGGCGTCCTGTACGCTTTCTTGTTTACCTCTCCACTGGCGTCTGAGCCGTAGCACATACAAACGGATTTCGCTTTGATGTCCATAGGGAATGGAAAGGATGGGGGAGGTAGAGGGATGGGGAGCTGAAATTCAGGAAGAGGATGCGGGTGTAGAGAGAGAGGAGGTTTGAAAGTTCGGTGGCCTGTCCACCATGGGTTGACATTTTTGTATGTGTTGTTTGTTTGCGTATGTGTTATGTTGGGTTGTCAGTACATTGGCTGGGGGGGCTAGTGTTTGTGACCTTGTTGGTGTCCTAAAGCACTAGAGCCGATGGAGTTGGCTGAAGGAGGCTAATCTTAGAAACATCAGGGTAGTTACACTTCTGATGCCACGACAAATGTTTTTTTGTAGGTGTTTTATTTATTTATTTTTTATTTTTTTTTTATTTATTTTTTTTTTTTTTTTCTTTATTCTTCATTTGGTGTAGATCGGGTCCGGGATGGGCCACTCATCTGGGTCGTCTGGCAGGCCGCTTAGTATGATACCGTTTTCTATGAACATGACATCCCTCCTTTTCTTTAAAAAGAATAAATACGGGATGTCTACCATGCTTGTAGCACAAAGCAAAGTTATTAACACAAAGTAAGTTATTAACTTATCAAGAGATATTGCATACATTTAACATTAATTAAGCACACAAAGAATTTAAACAACTTAATCTTTACCACACAGGATTTCAATGTTAAAAATACAAATGCAATGTTAAACAAAAATGAAAGAAACTGTAATACAAAGTTACAAAATATTGAATGAGAGATCTGCATTATTCAAACAATATTAAATTTAGTTTAGCATAACAAGTAAATACAAGTAAATATTATGTATTACATAGGAACACAATTAATCATTAAATGGCGTAGGGCGTTTAACATGACGTTTAGGACGAGAGTCCTTAAATACAATTACGGCAACGCAGAATGGTTGGTGAGGCTAGGTCGCCAATGTGGGCAGGTGTGTGAATGACTAAACCAGGCAACACAGAAGGGTTGCTGAGGCTGGGTCGCAAATAAGGGCCCCCTTGTGAATCACTGCAACTGGCAACGCAGAAGTGCTGCTGAGTTTGGGTCGCCAATGAGGGGACCTGTGTGAAAGATTGTAACTGGCAACGCAGGTCTGCTGAGGCTGGATTACTACCAGTAAGGGTGCTCGACTCATTTTTTTCTCTTACTTTTTCTTTTCCTTTCCCATTTCAACCACTTGAGCAGGACGGTAGAGCAATGGTCTCGCTTCATGCAGGTCGGCGTTCAATCCCCGACCGTCCAAGTGGTTGGGCACCATTCCTTTCCCACCCCGTCCCATCCCCAATTCCTTATCCTGACCCCCCTTCCAAGTGCTATATATTCCTAATGGCTTGGTGCTTTCTCCCCATGGTTCCATTCCATTCCAATTTCCTTTCCAATACCCCCCTTGCCACTCCTTGTGGGTGGTCTACAGCATATCATCAGCAGCTTGCTGTTGGTGAGGATTTCTCGTGGTAACCTAGTTATCACCTGAAATGCCGAAGTACTCTGACATAAAGTATAGATTTCTTTGAATAAGAAATTTATACATATTGTCAGGTTCGTAGTTTAGGGTGCTACGCAACAAAGGACATCCTTATTGAAGATTTTCTTTTTAAGGGATTTCTTCATGAAGGGTTTCCTTTGGACGACTTGCCCTGGCCCAGCCCGTAGTCACAGACCTCACCGTGGTGGGCTGGTGAACATGGAATGGAATATTCTTCCTCCTTAAAAGCGGTGGAATTCATCATCCCCAAATTTGTTATATCATAATTTTGTAATAACGTATAACCAAACAATACAGTACTGTACAGTAAATTTGTCAATATTTACAGTACATTTTCTTTGATTTGAGCTACGTATCATACTACAAGTCAGAATTTGTTCATTATTTATCATGGTTATCCTTTACCCGAATTCTATTCCATGGCCAACATGTGACTTATATATATATATATATTTTATAATTAATATGCACCATCTTGTAGGATAGTCATACACGGAATTAAATTTTAAAAAATGCATGCAAATCATTTAATATATAATAACATTAATTTATATACCAGAACAAACTTATTTTTAATGTATGAGGCATAAATTGATGAATGAGTCTTAATGAACGGTCGCTACTTTAACGAGCTTGTCCTGATGATGTGTTGTTAAAAAAATACCTTTACTTCACAATTAAAGTAAAAGAAGCGCAGGAGGAATGTAATTAAATCGAGTAGAGGAATGGAGAATAAATTCAGTTGTGTGAGTTAATACATTTTATGGATATTCTTTTGTCTAGGACTTTGAGCCCATTCATAAGTTGTCAGTTTCTCCAGCTAAGCTCGTCGTGGGGGCCATCCATTCAGTTGTTGCCTAACCTCCACAGTGTAAACTCAATGACCGAGCAACGTGCTTGCGTCTACATTAGACATTTAGAATGCAATCTTAAGCTCTTAAACCGTTTGTTTATCCTACCCAACACCAATTGAGCAGCTACAGGAGCATGGATGAGCCACCGTCAGCATCTAGAGAAGGAAAACCACACCAGGAAAACTAGACCGTATTTTAGGACACCCCGAGGCAAGTTGTATACACGTGGGAGAGAGTATTTTCATGCGTCTTGCTGCTGCTGGTCCTGGACCCTTGTGGCTAGGTTTGGCTTGGTGTCTGTGCGAATAACTACCGCGGGAGGTGATTTAAAGACACCACAATACTTTATTGATTAATCAGTAAATATTCTAGAGTCTAGAACATCAGGATTAAAGTAAATTCGAAAGTATACACATAGAGAAGCAGGATACACGAACCATTTGAACGGTGTTTGTCGCGGTGGAGCTTCATGTTTCTACGCTATAATGCATGTTATGAGAAACTGACGCCGTGGCGAAATATTAATGCTAGTGTGAATGTTTTATAACATACGATGGAGATAAAATCTTAATATTCATGGTGAAATTTATCTTTCAAACTACATCAATTTGTGTGACAACAGGTATGAACAGATGACTACCACACCCGCCTGGGTTACATGGGTCGTTACTTTAACAATTCAAATGAATAAATGCATATTATATACCATCCTTTGCCATAAATAATATACATTTTATGAAGGGTTATAATAGATTGAACACAATGAGCTCAGAATTGGAAAATAGGTAACTAAAGTTATCCTGCCGGAGACACTGAAGTGTATTACTACCAGAGGGTACACAATGCAGAGAGTGCGCTGTCGCCATCCCCGCCCTCCTGCATGCTGGCAGGTGGGTGTGCTGACGTGCCTGGTGCTGTGGGCGGTGCTGGGTGTGGTTCAGGAGGACAAGGTGCCCATGGTGAGACAGGAGAGTTACCTGCAGGCAGCGGGGCGTGACTCTATGAACCCCAAGCTCCCTCTCTCGCCATCCACTCCTAAGGTCGACTACCCCGAGGGCCAGGTAATAATCTCACCACATTTTCCACTATTTTCTTTTATTGACTATTTAATCAAAATATTTAATGTTGTTGATCCCTCATTATACTAGTTTAGCTAATGAACTGTATGTCGTGCTTTAACTTTTACCCCTCCTGTAGATCCTGTTCCTCTTCATCACCTTCCTCTTTCTGTCCGTTTGTCTCGCTTACAAGATTCTCTTTCGGTTCGTATTACCAATGTTTCTCCTCGTATTGTTCCGTCCTTGCCCCCGTGGAGGGTCTCTTCCCAAATTTTGTACTTCCCTGACCCGCATCACTAAAGCTTTTACCCCTCCTACGGTTCTGAGACGCCTTTTCCTTGAGCACATTTCTTCACACTCCCACTCCTTTTCCATCTTCACCCATGGGTCTAAGTTTGCTGACGGTGTGGGCTACTCTGTTGTTTTTCCTGACCACACTTATATGTGTCGCCTCCCTCCGGAGGCTAGCATTTTCACAGCAGAACTTTATGCTATTCTCTATGCTCTTCGTCTCCTGCTTTCTCGTTGTCAGTCCTCCTTTGTAGTGGTAGTTGACTCTCGTAGTGCTCTCATGGCTTTGGGGTCCTTTAATCCGGTCCACCCGGTGGTCCTCAAGATTCAACATTGGCTGTTTCTTATCTCCAGCAAATTTATGTCGGTAGAGTTTTGCTGTGTTCCGAGCCATATTGGTGTCTTTAAATGAGCGTGCGGATGCTGCCGCTAAGAAAGCTATCCACATTTGTCCCTTCTCTCGTAAAGGTATTCCTTTTTCCGACTTTTACTCAGTTATTCATTCCTCCATCCTTGCCCGTTAGCAGGTTTGTTGGTCTTCTGTTACTGGTAACAAACTACGTGCTCTTAAGAGTCGTGTGTCCCTGTAACCTTCCTCCTACCACCGTAACCGGCTATGGGAAACGGCTCTGGCTAAGTTACGTATTGGCCATGCACGTTTAACTCAGTCACTTAATGGAGCGCCGCCCTGCTGCTTATTGTCCAAATTGCATTGTCCCTCTTACGGTCGTGCACATTCTTGTTGAATGTCCTGACTTCCAGGACGAGCGTGTGTCTTGCTTTCCGACCGTCCCTCGCGGTCAATTGTCCCTCGATAGAATTCTTGATGACTCGGATACTTTTGATATCGTTCTCCTTATATGTTCTCGTATTGGCATCCTTGGTGATATTTAGCGCCCTATGATTACTCCGCACATTTGGTGGTGCTACATAGCCTTACCGGTTTGGTGCCTTCCTTTGATAATTACTTACTATTTACTTGGATGCACAGCCTCACATATAATGGATAAATTTTTGACAACGGTACTAGTAGTGATTAATTAATAAAATACAGGAAATTTAAAATATTGCACATAATCTTTTGCTGTTGTTTATGTAGCTTATATAATTATATAAGCTACATATGACTATGACTAGCCATTAATTATATCGGTCTCTCTTCGCTGGAAAAATCAGAGATCAAGGCAGTAGTTAATTCTTGTGTAGTTAAAATCCACTAATATTATTAGATCTAAAACGTTTTCAATTGATTTGTTATTCACTTATATTTCTTGAGATCTTTGCCACCTCATCCCTTTCTTTAATACAGTAATTGTTTCTCCGTTCCAAAAATTGATGCAGGACGACACTGAAGACCCACAGTGGACTCCAAGAAGACTGCAGCAGCTGCTGGAGGAACCGACGACTACCTGCCGGCGACTGACCAACCTCGGGGGAAGTATCTTGTGTGAGGACTGTCAGACCTGTCTCATGGACGGCAACAAGTACATTTGCTTCGATCCCGATGTGAGGTGTGTGCCTTTTTCCAGCTTGTCTGCTGCACGTGAGGGTTATTACGAGTATATCTACATTTGTCTTTTTCTGATACAAAAATATTCAACGCTCTCATAAAATCATCCATGTACATCGTCTTTATAATAATAATATTTATTCAGTTATAATTTATGTGAATATATACTCAGGCTTGTCCTCGCCATTACTGTATTAACAAAGTACCCATACACATTAATCAGCCGACGCAAATTATGCATATTGTCTTTATACAGTACTTCTTTTGTCACATGTTAATGCGTTTTTCTTTGTCAAATTCACTGCTTGTAGCCATTAACTATAAAACGACCTTCGCTCCATCACATTTTCATTAAATTGTATATATGTCATTTTATTTAAAACCACATTCTGACTGTTTAGCATTCAAAATTAGCCATGGAAAGAAAACACATCAATAACTGAACCCATTATGTCTCCTTGTAACCTATTCCATTACTACCCACGGTATGGGTATGAGGTGCATAGTATATGAACAAAATCAAAGAAAAGCAATGTCATTGATAGTAAACTAAACAATATCCATGTATAATCTTGAAAGAATGAATTATATAATCCCCCTGATGTGATTTTTGTCAAATTAGCAAGCCATGAAGAACAAAATTAACAATTTCATGGCCAGTTCTTGAACAGTTAGTTTTGAGTAAATGTTAAGACCAGATATCAGGTCATAAGCCATTAGAAAGCCTGTAGACTATTAATAGTGCTTGCCAACCACGTGGGTGGCTGGAAACGACCTTTTGTCAAGAGCAAGCGGCAACCGGAACCTCATTCTGTGGGCACTGGCCACAGATCAGCATTTTGGTGGACCTAAGAATTTGGAGAGGTAGTAATTGGTTGTCTAATTTAGAATGAACATGATTTGTTCTCTCAGCAGATGAAGTAAAATTGATTTGATATTCAGAAATACATTGAGAAGAGTATGGAGTCTGACAGACTGATTAAATGAGTAATTCTTAGGTGCGGTCTACAATTAGATTCGAGTTTTAATGAGTGAGTTAGGGTACTGAGAATTATTTGAAATCAAAAGAGAGGAATCGATCTTCAGTGATTCAGCCATATTGAATTATTGTAATTGATTTAGTTACAAGGAGTAGGTCGTTCGTTAACCGAAATTACAACAAGCGTTTCATGAAGCCGTAGTGCAACAATAGGTAATTCATCACTCTGGGATTTACAAGAAAAATCATTTCCGGATATCACAGTGGGGGAGGAGGTCGTGCATGGGAAATACTGTCCCGCTGGTGTTGCCTACCCGAGGAGAGGCTCATGTATAGGTAATGCTCTTCTAGCGTCGTCGGCTCGTGGGAGGGTGCATTGGGGAACTCTGATGAAGCTGCATCAATCATGCTATGAAAGTATAGACGTCGCCTCGTCTGCAATGATACGATTACTACTACTACTAATGTTAGGATAAATGATGATACTTTTAGACTAAATACTACATATAATATACAAAAACGGAAGGAAGATGCATCTCATCATGACTGGTCTACGACTCTATGGTCTCCTTGTTTCCTTTGGACAGTCCGGTGCCTGGAGACTGCCTGGTGTATTCCTTTGGCGTGGGGGGCGAGATGTCGTGGGATGCGGCCATGAGACACCTCAACTGCTCTGTCTTCGCCTTCGATATGACCCTCGTGGGCTGGGGCAACAATATGGTCTTCGAAGGCCTCCACTTTTTGGACCTCGGCCTTGGTAGCTTCAACTCTGATGTTAGTATTCTACGTATTCTTACCTAGCTGTGTATGTGGAAATGAATTCCAGTTCATGCACCAGGTTTGTGGTTTTTTTTCTGCTATCTGGTGCATGACTCTATCTCTCTAGTTAGTGCCTTATGCCAACTTTTCAAGACATGAATGACGTCAGCCTCCACTTCCTCATCGTTTTGCTCACCCCACTCCCTCACTATCCGTAAACTGAAGAATATTTCCGTATGCCTCTTTTTTTTATCAGATTCCAGTGTTACTCAGTTTGTTCCAGATCTCTTAACACCTATTCTAAACACCGTTCTTGTCAACTTTGATTATCTTGTAAGTTGCAATCATGTCTCCTATAGTTCTCTTTCTAGTGAAGTGAGATTCAAATTTTCCTAACCTATGAACAAATCCATTAGGGCCTTTGGGGATAAGTTCATTTGATATATCACATTATTGTGATATTTGTGTGTATTCCTAACCTATCCTCATATCCCAGTTCTCACATTTTCACTGCCAGCCTTGTGGCCAATCCTTTGGGCTCAAAATACAAATAAAAATTGCGTGTATAATGAGGGGATGGGGGTCCACACTGATGCTACATATTCTGCTACACGTCTCATGTGGGTAGTATACAATCATCTAAATGTGTATGTATGTGTGTGAGAAATTTCCCGATTTCTTATTCATTAATTTTGAATGTTTTTCTTTTTAATCTAAAATTTTATGGATAATGCTTCCTTAACCCTGGGCTACAGTTTAGTACATATTTTAATCGGATATTTATAAGCAACAAGTATGGTGTTACTACTTTAATATTAACAGTTAAGATGAAATGTATGAGTATAATGCTTGTTTCGGCTATAGTCAGAATTTTGATATTTGAATTAAGAAGAAGGATGGGTCAATAAGATGATGAGTTGTCAATAAGAAAAAGATGAATAATAATAATAAGAATAACAATAACAGTTTTGACCCAACAGGACACAATTAACATGACGGCAGCTGACGGCAATGGTAAAAACTGGACATCGAGAAAGGCGCACTTTCGGTCATTGGAGTCCATCAGGGATATCTTGGGACACAAGAACCGGCCAATCGATGTTCTCAAGATGGACATAGAGTTTATGGAGTGGAGGGTGTTGGCGGACCTCCTCAGCCACCCTGACAAGTTCCGGGCTCTGCAGGACGTTAGACAGATAGCCCTTGAGGTTAGTTCTCAGCTAACATTACTTTAAGCTTCACCACTGAACCTCTTGTACTGTAGTAATAATAATAATGCACAAGGAAATCACATTAACGTGATGTATCGGGGAGAAAATCAGCAGGAGCCAACTTATTATTGGTCTAAGGCATTTGCTTGGGAGTACACAGCATAGGTTCGAATCCTCCTAATGGCTCCTACTGATTTATGTATTATATAGCGTCACTGCATTAATAAAATGCATTTACAAATATTTTATTTGGAGTTTATTAGAATTTGTTTTTATAATTTTGTTCTATAAAATTAGCTATTTTAATGGGCTAAATGTATTGATAGTTGTATATTCCCAACCAAGATTGATTGACAAGTGCCTTAGCTAAGAATGTGTTCATGGTTCCTGCCCTGACCAGATACATTTGGACGGGCTGAGGAACTCTACAGGTACGGAGCGCGTAGTGGAAGCTAGGAAGGTGGAGGCGGTGCTGGAGGGCCTCCACACTCGAGGCTTCCACCTCGCCCACACCCAGCTGAACGTCGCTCAACAGGTACTCTCGGGATAATTAACACTCACAACAACAGACATTCACAGAGTTAACATTTAAAGCATAACCAAGTAGCACTTCTGGTAATAATATCAATTAATATTATGCAGGCGATGAGTCACAATAACGTGGCTGAAGTAGTTTGACCAGACCACACACTAGAAGGTGAAGGGACGACGACGTTTCGGTCCGTACTGGACCATTCTCCAGTCGATTGTGAATGGAATGGACACAATCGACTTGAGAATGGTCCAGGACGGACCGAAACGTCGTCGTCCCTTCACCTTCTAATGTGTGATCTGGTCAATCAAATAAATATTATGTAATAGTAATCCAAGATGTAAACTAGTTCTGTTATCTGATAATTAGGTCGATGGGGCATGTTAGGCTAACAACACGTGGTGTGCTCCGGCAGGTTCATGCAGAGGTGCGAGGCCAGGTCTTGCCCCTTTACCGAGAATCGCTCTTTCTTCGTCGACCGTGATGGTGCCATGCATAGTCTTCCCGGCTTGGTGTCTTCTTAACTTCCAATAATATTTACTCGCGACCGTGACTACCAACCAGGTGTAATGCTGCTCATCGTGTGTGAATCATAACTTCTTTTTTGTTTCCATATGCCTGTCCATTAATGTACAATCCTAACAAATAAATCTCCAAAAACTAGTTCAATTTTTAATAATAAATGAAAACCTTACTGAAAGGACTTGCTATAAAAATAAATTATATCATCATTACCTACAATTCAGCACTCTGTTTCCCATAGTTTATAGGATTAACCCAAATAATGGGTGCTAACTGCCACAAATTCCCTGTCTTCGTCTATGCACATGACTGGCCATGGGCACCAATCACGCGCGCACGTACTTTCAGTCTGTGTCGCATTACTGCCAAAAATACTTTATTAAAGAGCAGATACGAGGTAAGATGGCATGAGGCATTATATAATGTAACTTATCAAATATTTAACACGGTTCACAAAAGTTTTTCAGAAGTGGCGAAGTGTGAAGAAGTATATCAGATTGTCTTTGGAATGGTCCTCGGTGGTATATCAGGTTATATGAACTATGAAATGCAAGAAATTGAAAACAAATCTTTTAACATTTTGACTGTCAGCATTTTCATCACTGTCACTGTCCCTTTACACTGGCGCCTACCTTGGTGACACATTTGCCTCCACATCTATACCTGGACGTTCCTAGTACTCGTGTGCTTGGACTTATTTATACTCTAATTGCTGTTACCGCTTCTGTAGTTATTATTTTAATTGGCTGCAGTAGGAACCAAGTCATGCTGGGGCTAATGATGTTAATTAGAAACAGGTGTCCTGGTATGTAAACTCGTTTAACACCTGTGTATCTAACCCCAGCTCTTAGCAGGCCAAAGGGGTTCCAAGCACCATATTGTCCTCGAAGCATACCATAGTTTTCCTTCCTGTGTGATAGTCTTAATCCATTTCATGAATCTCCCTTTGACACCCATGCATGCAAGCTCATCTAGGACCGAAATGCCTTGCGCCTTGTCGAAAGCTTCGTTGATGTCAACAAAAGAGTACGTAGCTGTGTCATTAGGTAAATAATTAACTACAATTAGCTGTGCTTCGTCCTTTAACAAATCCGTTAAAATCCGTTTGACCCCTTCACCTAGTCTACATATTTTGTGATAGGCGGGTTATCAGCTTTTCAACCATATTTCATATGTATGATACGAGACTAATAGGTCTGTAATTTACAGGATGCTTTGGTTTCAGTATGTGGGATAATTATTGCGTTTATATAATGCTCTTTCTGTTTCCTTAAATATCGGATTATATTTTTCACACCCTTGTAGAGCGTGAATTCAAGGTGTGTTTTAGCAACTTAAGAATTTAATCTCATTTACATACAGAAAACATTCAATCTCCCTAACTTTCACCTCTTCAACATCCATCCCTTCCACATTTCCACACTCACACTAACTTATTCACTCATCCTCTATGTTTGACGACCAAAAAGACCACACCCACTTATCTCATGGATCATTACTCATCCGCTTTATGCCCCCTAACATGTTTTCACGGACAAGCTTAATGTTACCCTCGCGAGGACCTTAACATGCTTGATTTTAGAATACCATTTCAACTTTTGGAAATTCGGAACCTTCCATTCTCTGCATTTATAGTCCAGTGTTTGTTGTAGTTAAAAATTTCACATACTCTTATTTCAGAATGCAATTTCAGTCTACCGTCCAAAAATATAGTTCAGAACCTATTTGCATTCATAAAGAATGCAAAGAGGTTCGGTTCGGTGCAAAGAATGCACGGGCGAGGTTTCAAATTAGTGCTATCATACAAAAGTGTTTGTGGGTTCAGAGTTCTTCGCCACAATGAAAAAAGTGTGTTTGGGTTCAAATTTAAGCGGCACCATGCTTGTGTATTATAGGCATTATTAATATGAATTTATTTATAAAGGCACGTCTGCAGTTTTTAAATCACCGGTGGAAACGTGGTGGTGGTGGCAAAGGTCACCAGCACAGAGGAAACCGTCGTCGATGCCTGCAGCAGCTTTAATTATTTACATATTTTACTGTAGCCTCGTCGTAGTGCAACACCAGCCACACTCCACAACATTAATAATTCAAGGTGTTACTATGGAAAGGTATTTTTGGAATTAGAGACGGACCACGGCACACAATGTAGCTATGGCCAGAATCAGACTAATATTGTAATATTTCGAGAAAATTATTTAAAGGACAGGGACAGACTGTAATTGGTGACACATGTATTTGCTGGCCTGTAACTGTAGGCTACACTCATCTGTAGTATATGCGTACGTTGCTTCCATGTCCGTATAACCTTCATATGTCCGTAGCCACCTGTCGGGGATAGTTCCACGTGTTACTAAAATTTGCCCGAAACGCTCTGCGTATTAGTGGCTTTAGGCATTGTATGTACTAGCTCTATCTTTAAATCCAACATTATGTTTTGTAACTCATCTTGTATGTATGTACTTTTACCTGAATAAACATTTGATTTGTGTTCACAGGACTCGCTTGTCTGGCAACCCCGTATACAGAACCCCCAAATCTGTAGCCTTCGCATCCATAACCCTAATACGCCCATAGGCCGTAATGTCCACATGACTATAAGCCAAAAATATGTACAGGTCTAAACGTCTGTAGACATCTCACGTCCATCAGCAACACCCGTTCATATGCAACACTTCTCTATATAAATAACATATGTCTAAAAGTAACGCATGAAAGATCCCCACCTATGTCCCTAGTCTCCACATGTCTGCATGTTAATCCGTTAATCCGCACGTTCGCAGGTCTGCACTATCACTAATAGTGATAGTGATCACTAATAGTGATCTGCATTATCACTAATAGTGCAGATCCGCAGGTCTGCACTGCACTAATATGTCTCAGTGATACATATTAAATAAAAGTATCGTCCCCCTTAACATATTTTACAGTTTTCATGTTCACTTGATGCTATAATTACCGCAATTAAGTTTACATTTTATTCTACAGCATCAGTAATTAATTGTAATCCAAGGGGTTATTGCACTTTTTCGATTACAAGTCCCCAATCGACTACTCAATTTGCTCTCCCCCCCCCCCCCCCCCCACACACACACACACACCCTTCGTCAGACAGTCGAAATCATCACCAGTATGAATTCAAGACGTCAATAGCTTGGTTTTACTTTACACGCGGAGGGCTAGAAATTAAACGGCTGAAAGAAAATCAAAACAATTATGTCATTTATAGAAAAACTGCCAGTCACAAATACACAAGCTAGCTACAACTACAGAGATTCTTTGTTGTGTTTCTAGAATCAAAATATGGAACCGCCGTAATCCATATTTATAACGGTCATAGTTAATTCTAATCTAATAATATATACTTTTTTTCTAATTGTTCAGAGGTTGGGTCCCATACCACTATTTTCGGACACATTGGTTAAGAACTCCTTAGATTACGAATATCAGTTGAATTGTTATGAATATATCAGTAAAAAGTGATAAGGCGACAACTTTTTCGATTATCCACAAGGTAACGATATTGTCCAATGTTTTAATTTGATTTTTTGACGAACTTATAATTTGCCTTAGTTCTAATTAACTAGCTTTGTAATCCATACTGATAGACAATCATTTGGATTAGGGCCTTTCTGCTCTCGTGTTGGTATCCTGAATTATATCTAGGAATTCTTCAATTGTCTGTGACCTAGACAGTGGAATATAAGGATACTAGTTTAGCGTTTTCTTTTGATAATTACTTATTTACGGTAAACTGGGTCAAACAGAGGACGGTTAAACTGTTGGAAAGCGGCGCGCGTGTGGTATAGTTGAGGCGAGGCCCGCAGGGTGGCGGGCTCGTCGCACAGATCAATAGCTTACTAGACAAGGTTGGGGAGGAGAGCTCTCATACAACGATATTTCCTGTAATTTGTTGATTTGAGACGGTGTTTCATGTCGGTATTGCTTATTCTCTAGGACCTACCCACTATTTTGAAGGTAAATAGTAAGGTAAGCATCTGTGCTGCTGTGTTTGAAGGCGTAACTTCAATTGGCTGGATTCGTAGTGTCAGATTTGTTTAAATAGCCTAGCTAATTTGATGAAGTGTAGTACAACTAACTACCTGAAAAAAACGGACAACTATTGGGTGTAGAAAATACGTCCCCATACTCGACAGCTGTTTTGTAAATGTGTCATACTGCATACATTTTGTGATATTCTAATCTCAGTCCACAACGAAGACAGTGCATAAAGAGTGTGTAGTAACGAGGCATTATATCCAATACTGCTCAATATTAGAAATGATAGCCGTTAATATTGACACATCTGCAGGAACTTCTTATACCTCAGACAATTGTTAAAATGAGATCAACATCAATTCCTCTTTATGTCCACAGCTCGGCTCATACATACATACATTATTTTCTCATACTGAAGAATGAAAAATAAGCTCAACAGGATTCGTAATTTTTTTTTAATTGATTCCTCCGCAGACACGGAGATGCTTTCACGATCCAGGCTTGTGTTAAAAGAAAATCCAGAATTGGTTGTGGAATTAAATGAAAACCAAATGAGACTGGAAGATAATAGATGCTTGCTGCCGGAAATGACTGTACCACCATCTTATTTTGGACTATCTCAGCCTTTGTGAATAACAAATTTATGAAGGGGGAAATCTCACAGTAGAACTCACAGCTCACATTTAATGTATGAGCCGGACAATGCTAATAAATCATACGAGTGAGTCGAAACTTTTTAAGAGGAGAGAGGTGATGGGTTCCCACACCACGCTACTGGAACAGCACGCAGCGGGCAACTGGGTTTTAACCTATGTATAAATAATATACCGTGCAGCATAGATGATACACGTAAATAAATAGTTGATGGGGGGTGAGCTTCCATTATCCTGGTCACTGTGTATCACCACACTAGGCCCAAGCGATGCCTTCATTGGATTACTGCTTCTATTGATTGTGTCAAGGGCGGTGGTTCTGTAGACTAGTGTTTTTATGGCGGTGGTAGACTTGTGTCTGAGGCGGTGGTAAACTACTGTTTGGGGCGGTGGTAGACTAGTGTTTGAGGCGGTAGTAAACTAGTGTTTGGGGCGGTGGTAAACTAGTGTTTGAGGCGGTGGTAAACTAGTGTTTGAGGCGGTGGTAAACTAGTGTTTGAGGCGGTGGTAAACTACTGTTTGGGGCGGTGGTAGACTAGTGTTTGAGGCGGTAGTAAACTAGTGTTTGAGGCGGTAGTAAACTAGTGTATCAGACGGTGGTAAACTAGAGTTTGAGGCGGTAGTAAACTAGTGTTTTATGGCGGTGGTAAACTAGTGTTTGGGGCGGTAGTAAACTAGTGTTTGGGGTGGTAGTAAACTAGTGTTTGAGGCGGTGGTAAACTAGTGTTTGGGGCGGTAGTAAACTAGTGTTTGGGGCGGTAGTAAACTAGTGTTTGGGGCGATAATAAACTAGTGTTTGGGGCGGTGGTAAACTAGTGTTTGGGCGGTAGTAAACTAGTGTTTGGGGCGGTGGTAAACTAGTGTTTGGGGCGGTAGTAAACTAGTGTTTGGGGCGGTAGTAAACTAGTGTTTGGGGTGGTAGTAAACTAGTGTTTGGGGCGGCAGTAAACTAGTGTTTGGGTCGGTAGTAAACTAGTATTTGGGTCGGTGGTAGACTAATGTTTGAGGCGGTAGTAAACTTGTGCTTGAGGCGGTAGTAAACTAGTATTTGGGTCGGTGGTAGACTAGTGTTTGAGGGGGTGGTAGACTAGTGTCTGGGGCGGTGGTAGACTAGTGTCTGGGACTGTGGTAGACTAGTGTCTGGGACGGTGGTAGACTAGTGTCTGGGACTGTGGTAACTAGTGTCTGGGACGGTGGTAGACTAGTATCTGGGACGGTGGTAGACTAGTGTCTGGGGCGGTGGTAGACTAGTGTCTGGGACTGTGGTAACTAGTGTCTGGGACGGTGGTGGACTAGTGTCTGGGACTGTGGTAACTAGTGTCTGGGACGGTGGTAGACTAGTGTCTGGGACTGTGGTAACTAGTGTCTGGGACGGTGGTAGACTAGTGTCTGGGACGGTGGTAGACTAGTATCTGGGACGGTGGTAGACTAGTGTCTGGGACGGTGGTAGACTAGTATCTGGGACGGTGGTAGACTAGTGTCTGGGACTGCGGTGGACTAGTGTCTGGGACGGTGGTAGACTAGTGTCTGGGACGGTGGTAGACTAGTGTCTGGGACGGTGGTAGACTAGTGTCTGGGACGGTGGTAGACTAGTATCTGGGACGGTGGTAGACTAGTGTCTGGGGCGGTGGTAGACTAGTGTCTGGGACGGTGGTAGACTAGTGTCTGGGACTGTGGTGGACTAGTGTCTGGGACTGTGGTGGACTAGTGTCTGGGACGGTGGTAGACTAGTGTCTGGGACGGTGGTAGACTAGTGTCTGGGACGGTGGTGGACTAGTGTCTGGGACTGTGGTAGACTAGTGTCTGGGACTGTGGTGGACTAGTGTCTGGGACTGTGGTGGACTAGTGTCTGGGACGGTGGTAGACTAGTGTCTGGGACGGTGGTAGACTAGTGTCTGGGACGGTGGTAGACTAGTATCTGGGACGGTGGTAGACTAGTGTCTGGGACGGTGGTAGACTAGTGTCTGGGACTGTGGTGGACTAGTGTCTGGGACGGTGGTAGACTAGTGTCTGGGACGGTGGTGGACTAGTGTCTGGGACTGTGGTAGACTAGTGTCTGGGACTGTGGTAACTAGTGTCTGGGACGGTGGTAGACTAGTGTCTGGGACGGTGGTAAAGTAATGACATATTTACCATCTTTCCAAGAGTTTCATGGTGGCTCCATCTGGACGCTTCTGACTGGATCGAGCGAGGTCTGTACATTTGGGGGTTTCCCCACATAACAGGACTTAACTTGATATCGCTGATTTCCAAATGTCTAGTAATCTTTCCCCTTGATTTACGACAGATGAGGCTATAAAGACAGGTTTGCTTATGCACTAATGCCACTGCTGTCCACCTGTAGTCACAGGTCATCTACACCCCTATTTACAGGTGCTACTTGGGCCAAGTGGCAGTCTTTCTTAAAAGGTTTTAGTGTTTTCATTGGTATTGCCGTCTTTCTCCTTCCTTTTTATGGGTACTGGTACACTGCTAGAGCTCTAGATATATGCTTTCTGGGCGGGAGTTTACCTTCCAGACATGATTAAGGTCATCATTGATTGAACGTGGACTTGTAAAACATGAGGCCATCACTATACCAACACGGCATGTATGCTCCTTAGTAAGAAACGTCGCCGAAAATAACCAGACTGTTACATAATCTGAATTGTAAACCTTCTCTGGAGCACCATGATTGTATCTTAGGGTAATGTCCCCCCCCCCCTCGTCCACGTTATAGAAACAACAGTCCACAATATTCTGTGTAATAACTTTTCATTTACTTTAACCATCAGGGGATTCAACTATGCAAGGTTTCTATGTCAGTGGCACTGGTCTGTATCAGTGGCACTGGTCTGTGTCAGTGGCACTGGTCTGTATCAGTGGCACTGGTCTGTGTCAGTGGCATTGGTCTGTGTGTCAGTGGCACTGGTCTGTAATTCAGGGCCTCCTGCCTGTTTCATATTTTATTTGTTAGCATCACATTAGCCACTGACATAGTTGTTTAACAACTTGCCCATCTACAGTGATGTAGTAAAGATCAGTACTAGAGGTTCACTAAGCACCTTTGCAGTTTTTTTCAGTATACATAGTAGGTTGATATGAGGTTCAGGCCCAAGGTCAAATGCTAAGATCCATTGTTATACGCTGTCAGACCCAACAGCTTACGTCTCGTCTAATGCTTCTAGTTTTTCACTCCCCGACTGTTACCTCAGTGTTTGCTAGTCACTCATCTGAGGTGGTCTTATCTCTCTCTACTATGAGGTATTTGCGTTCAGTCTCTCAACACCTGGATACCTACACAGAGTTCATCGCATAACTCCTTATAATTTGTTGTCACATTTTCCTCTTGCTTGGCCTCCTGATTTAATTTTAGTTTCTTGACTTCTGGGTATTGTTTATAAATCATTGGTTACCATGTTCCTTGTCTTTCCATCTCCTATTTCTTGTCGTATTTCATTCTGAAGTTGCTTATCAAATTTTACATCATATTCCCCGTTCCATTTACTTGCAACTCTTGCAATATATAAGTTTTTCCTCCCGTGTTTGGTCTTGACGTTTCTCCGTCTGAACTTTGCTTCTTTATCCACCGTGGGTGTGTGCGTGTGCATGTACTCACCGAATTGTGCTTGCGGGGTTCAGCTTCGGCTCTTTGGTCCCGCCTTTCAACTGTCAATCTACTAGTGTACAGGTTCCTGAGCCTATTGGGCTCTATTATATCTACATTTGAAACTGTGCATGGAGTCTGCCTCCACCACTTCCTACCTAATACATTCCATTTATTAACTACTCTGACGCCAAAAAAAATGTTCTTTCTAATGTCCCTGTGACTCATTTGGGTACTCATTTTCCACCTGTGTCCCTTTGTTCGCGTCCCACCATTGTTAAATAATCCGTCCTTATCTACCTCCTCAATTCCCCTCAAAATTCTGTGTGTGTGTGTGTGTGTGTGTATGTGTGAGCATTTTCCCGATTAAAGTTGTAGAGCAGGAATGTAGGAATAGTGAACGAGCAACTGGGGCCGGGGGGGAGCTGGGGACAGGCTGCTCTCACCAACTTTACCATGCCAGGTTTTCCGCATTAGTATTAGTCCTTTGTGTGTACTTATGTGTGTATCACCATGTTATTGTTTTATATATATATATATATATATATATATATATATATATATATATATATATATATATATATATATATATATATATATATATATATATATATATATATAAAATGTCGTACCTAATAGCCAGAACGCACTACTCGGCCTAGTATGCAAGGACCGATTTGCCTAATAAGCAGAGCGAATTTCGTTATTTAAAAAATGGTATATTTGAATTAATATTATTATTATATTATATTAATACTGACTTATAGTATTTTATAACTTTTTATAATATAGTATTTTATAAACCTAGTAGTTTAGGTTAGGCGAAGATAGGTTAGGTTTGGTCATATTTCTACGTTACTTTTACTTAAATTAAAGAAAATTAACTTTATTATCTAATGGAAAGCTTTATCATTCCATAAGAAAAAAATAGACAAAAATATAACTTCGGGAAAACTTTGCTTATTAGGGAAATCGTGTCTTGCATAGTAAACCAAGTAGTGCGTTCTGGCTACTAGGTACAACATATATGCTGCACCTAGTAATACAACATATATATGTAGAGTAGCTGAGAATACAAACATAATGTGCCCTGTGCAGGCGAGGAGTCACAATAACGTGGCTGAAATATATTGACTAGACCACACACTAGAAAGTGAAGGAACAACGACGTTTCGGTCCGTCCTGGACCATTCTCACTGTTGATTATGAGAATGGTCCAGGACGGACCGAAACGTCGTCGTCCCTTCACTTTCTAGTGTGTGGTTTGGTCAACATAATGTGCCCTCCTCCTTTGCTCCCTAACATACCTCCCTACAGCCAGGAAACTTGAATTGCTCGTTCCAGCTATTGTTAATGTTCCCGTGTCAGTCCCTCGGTCACTTCTGTCCGAAGGATTGAAGACAGCCTAAGAGTGTCCTGTGTATTGGGGTATAACACCTTGGGCCACGAAGCCCTGTCCTTCCCGGCTTGTGTCTGCCTCGTTGAACTCGGCTAAGACTGTAAACTCAACCTAAGGTTCAATGAATATTGAGTTTAGTAAGTTTACTTATGATTAACTCTCTTGTGGTGTTTCAGGAGTGGGGGCGGCGTGAGGCAGGAGGAGCAGGATGTGGGCGTGGCAGGTGTGGGCGTGGTGTGTGGCGGGCGTGGTGACCTGGGCTGCCGCCACGCCTACCTGGCAGTCGTGCAAGGCTGAGTGCGACTCTCACTTCTCCAGAAACGATCTCCTCCAGGTGAGTGCTTCAGGGGACTAGTTACTACCCACCAACTACTTTACTAACCACTAGTTGGTGGCTAGTGAACATCTAAATGCTAGCTAATGTTTCACTAACATCTAAATACTAGTGAACATTAGCTAAATTCTGTCTAATAGGTGCTTAATTTCTAGTGGAGCAGGTTGATAAGTGTGCCATGTAGTGGCTGGAGAGGTCAGAGGGCTCATTCGTCTAATCTGTCCGTTATTATCCTCACTATCTTCCCTTAATAGAACGTATCAAGCTTTTAGGTTTTATATTCTATTACGCTTTAGAAAAGTTAAATATTATCCACATTGCACGTGTTTTGTGTGGCAGGATTAGTCTAGTGGATAGGGTGCACGTGTTTTGTGGGGGGCAGGATTAGTCTAGTGGATAAGGTGTTATTGCTATTCGTTGGTCGACGCAGGGAGATTGATGTCACAGCCGATGGCGTGTGATCGATGTCTTGCTGGGAGGAGTCTATTAACCAGGGCGTTGTGTTATATTTTCAGTCTGCGTTATCGCGAATGTGTGAGCGTGGGTGTGACCTGTTCACCGTGGCCCTCATCGCCACCCCCCAGCGGACCCGGGTGCTGCATCTTGGTCCAGTCCACCTGCCCCCAAGGACCCCTGCCCCGCCCCGCAGCCCGCCCCATGACCTAGTGGTGAGAGTGGAGAAGAAGAACCCAATAGAACAGATTGGTGAGCGCCATCACCATCACCACCACCACCTCCACCACGCTCCCGACAGGAACCTTCGGGTAATCTCTCCGGTCCAAACCAGGACCCCTCACCACAAGACACGCCAGACAACCACTCAGCCTGCAGACCACCCGGTCCAAGACCACCCGGCCCAGGCAGACCATCAAGCCACTACCACTCATCCGGGTCAAGGCCAGGCTGGACACTCCGCAAGCCAAGCCACTACTACTCAAACATCAAACACACACTCGCCCGCCACCACGGCCGAGGCACCAGCAGTCAAGGATGAGAGGCATGAGCTCAGTGATGAGGGGCACGAGACCAACGCCATCATCATCTTGGGTAAAGACAGCCTGCATCAGGAGGGTGATACCGGTGAAGAGCTTCCACATATGACACCAGAGGAGTTCCAGGCAGCGAGGGCAGGAGAAGACGTGGAACGACTGCAACAGGCTAAGGATTCTTGCAGGCATGGTAAGAAATTATTCTATGTAGATGTAGAATCATTCACATAAGTTAAGATGCTGCCATGGGCTTGTCAATCATGCAAATTGAAGGAAGGGAACATGGACAAAATCGTCCACTCATACTGCATGGTGTATAAGTGTAGATCAACTACTGACGGTATATAGCCTAATTATTCATAAGGATAATACACAATTCTTAGTATTTTTTGTTGTTATCCCGGACGACACACATCCATTATCTCCGCACAGAACGCATCAAAGCTTTTTCATTTATGGGAAGTATTGTTGCTAACTTATTTGGATGGCGACTCATCAACGCTTTAAAGATGTTCAACAAGAGGGCTTGCGTTTAAGTAGAGAGGTATTATGCGCTCTTCCCTAATTCACAGCATTACTGCAGAAGCTGGAGCTTTATCTCTCTGTGACCCAAGTGCCCGATATTGTCTTGGGCACTTCACAAAACACCACTTTAACCACATTTATGTTTAGTTTTAACCAAATGTCATTGTTTCTGACGTCATAAATCTTATTTTAGACCTTTATTACGTGAACATTCCCTCTCAAACTTTAGATATATTACACGTTTCATCCAACTGTTTCCAGTCTGGAACGTCTCGCTCAGCCACTTTTGTAAAGTTTATGTGCTTAAATTCAAACCTTTCAGCTCTCTTGCTGTTGTAGAGCATATTGGAACATTTTAGTGAACATTCCCATTCTCTTGTCATTTGTACTGATGGCACTAAACCAGCGGCTGGTATGGAATACCTCAGTTATGGTTCTTCAAGTTAAAAGAACTTTTAACTTGAAGAACCCTCAAATATGGCATAGTGGGGATTTACGGCGATAGCTTTATTTGCTGAGGCATATTGTATATTTACAATGATCTGTAACGCCTGTCTGGTGGCGCAAGGCTGGGTGTAGTGCCAACTCGTAGGTCGTCAAAATTAAGTCCATGAGAACAGGCAAACTGAAGGTAAGCAAAGTACAAAGCAACATAATAAGTTTATTCTTTGAATAGGTTATAGAGGTGGTGTATAGCCAGCAGTGGAACTCTGGAGTCACTCGACGTGGAGGATGGAGTATTAGTTTTGGTATAGTCGAGGTATCAGCTGAGGAGTCTGTTTATAAAGCAAACTCCATAGGAGTAGATATACAAACTGACTGGTTTGTGAGTCTGGCTTTCCTGCAGTTATATCAGGAGAGAAGATTTTGATGACATTCGGAGAGGCAGTAGTTGGTCCCTGGAAGGTGTGGGTAAGGTACAGCAGAATCTGTAGGGTGTGGTCCCTGCAAGGGTAATTGATTGACATATATTATATCACAGACACGTACCATAGGATAATTATAACTACAGAGCTCTCGTTCAGTGAGATTGTGATTGTGGTAGCCATAGTTGTTAAACAAGGTGTCCCATAAGTCTGAAACCATGCGATGAAATGATAGAACCGGCTTTTATGTCTTATTTTTTTTAGTTTATGCACATAATGTGGCCACCAGGGGCCTGACAGCTGAGTGGACAGCGCTTGGGATTCGTGGTCCTAAGGTTCCGGGTTCGATTCCCGATGGAAGCGGAAACAAATGGGCATGGTTTCTTTCACCCCTGATGCACCTGTTCACCTAACAGTAAATAGATACCTGGGCGTTAGACAGCTGCTTCTTGGGGTGTGTAACAAAAAGGAGGTCTGGTCGAGGACCGGGCCACGGCGACGCTAAGCCCCAAAATCATCTCAAGATAACCATTATGATTGTATACAATTGCAGACAAAGTGGCTAATCACTAATCACATTGATGTGTCAGAAGTGAAGGTGCGCATCAATAATGCTCTTCTGTCACCATACCTCGTCTGTATTTGTGTATTGATCATAATGCTGGGAACATTGAACACATTTTGTGAATTAACAAAAATAATAAAATAAAAAATGCCGGTTCAATAATTACGTCATATGGCTTAGGGTTCCAGACTTAACCTGTATATTGCTTTGCATTCATAAACAAATAATCAGCAACTGATGGTGAGGAAGTACAGAGGTACAACGAAAGAATTATTGACAGAAGGAAGCCTCAGGGGCTCGACCTTGGGATTGATTAATATATTCAGTTACAGATATATATTGAATTATGTGTGTGCAGCGTGTGTGACGGCGTACCACCTGGAGGAGGAGCAGAAAGCGTGCGTGGTGGGGTGCCACTACCAGGCCATCACAGCCGCCACACACCCGCCTCGGGCCAGGATGCCAGACGTGGTCAGAAACCCCCTCGCCATGTTCCAGCACGTCATGTTCAACCTGGCGGGTCGCGTGGGCCGGCTGGTGCGAGTAACGTGGGCCTGGACCACTGGCAGCCAGCGGGATGCTCCCCACAAAGAGCACCACCAGAAAATACAAGGTGGGCGTCTTCCTTAACTTTAAATGACTTGTCATAGAGCTCGAAGGTTTATACACACCAATTCTCTCTAAGTTATAGAAAGCCTTGGGCTTACGCAGCTCTGGGACTCCTAATTATATAATTTATGTACATATAATGTATATACTGTATCTGAAGCTTCGAAATATATGCAATTCAGTCCTGATGAAATCAGTTAGTTTTATAATTATTTAATTTATCACTCAGGTTCAATATACATTTACCTCCCAATTTGATCAAGGTGCTCTATCCTGAAGCTTAGTGGCATGCCCACCTGAAGCTTTGTGGCGTGCCCACCTGAAGCTTAGTGGCGTGCCCACCTGAAACTTTGTGGCGTGCCCACCTGAAGCTTAGTGGCGTGCCCACCTGAAGCTTAGTGGCGTGCCCACCTGAAGCTTAGTGGCGTGCTCACCTGAAGCTTAGTGGCGTGCCCACCTGAAGCTTAGTGGCGTGCCCACCTGAATCTTAGTGGCGTGCCCACCTGAAGCTTAGTGGCGTGCCCACCTGAATCTTAGTGGCGTGCCCAACCTGAAGCTTAGTGGCGTGCCCAACCTCAAGCTTAGTGGCGTGCCCAACGTCAAGGCGTGCCCAACCTCAAGCTTAGTGGCGTGCCCAACGTCAAGGCGTGCCCAACCTCAAGCTTAGTGGCGTGCCCAACGTCAAGGCGTGCCCAACCTCAAGCTTAGTGGCGTGCAGAGTGCAATATTACTGTGGATATAGTCATATCCGCCTCTATACTTAACCTTTCCTATAATATAAGGTGTCCACCTCAGACCTATATAGCGACGAATCAGCATTATTTGCAAATAAAATTTAAGATATTTTTACTTATTTATAACACATTCAAAATATGTAGTGTACGTACATTTTTGTTGTTTGTGTCATATGTGAGTTAATTTATCTAAAATTTTGTGTATAAATGATGTAATTCCGTGTATCCGATATCTATGTTGTAATTCACAGAAACGGTGTCTCATTTAGCGTTGCCACATGGCGTCTCCCCAGTACACAGCCCAGAACACAAGTACCGGAGCGGCCGGGTCTACTACTCGGAGCTCTTAGGCCACTATACCATCGGCGTCAGGTGGGTGGGTCCTCGGTCCCTTCATCTCCTATAATTGAAAAAATATTTGTTGGAAATTTGTTATTGGATAAGTCTTCGTTACACTAAAAGACAGACACTGGGAAATTGCAAAAAATCACAGGAAACTAATTTTTACGCATTGTAGAAGAACAAACAAAAAATTAATTGTAAAGGGAAATGGGTAGGTTAAAGAAGACTACAGCTATTTGAGAGTGTGAGTGAGTGAGTGAGTGAGAGTGCGAGCTAACGCGAGCTAGCTAGGTGGCTTCTTAACCCAAATCTTTGAGGGGGATCACAGATAAACAAAATATTTGTGTTATCAGCGAGGACGTGCCTCTGGCTGACCCCAGCCTCGTCCACCACCACGACCATGAGTGTCGTCATCGCCACCAGCAGCAGCAGCCACAGCAGTCCCAACAGCAGCAGCTTTCTCAACACACCCAGCAGCAACAACAACAGAACCAACAGCAGCAGGTGCAGCAGCAGCAACAGCAGCAACAACAGCAGCAACAGCTGGATTTACTAGAATGTATTTCACGCAAGTCTGGACTGCCGCGGTGGTTCATCGCTGTCACCATCTTCACCTCAGCGCTGGTGATCCTCTGGTTGTGCTTCACCCTCACAGCCCCACCCGATGATATCAAGGTCGTCAAGACCAAGGTCAGTCTATCTATTCTTTAGAAACAACTTTGATAACAAATTCAGCTGGATAGAACAACAACTAAGGCTTCATACTGTGCCAAACCTTATATCCTTATATAGTTTCATAATAATGTGTGATAATGAAACATCTTGGACCCCTGTTTGAATCTCTCAGTTCTCGTACAGTTTTGACTCAGAGTTTTTAAGTTTTCTTAGTCTATGTTCACTTTCAGATCTAAGGCATTTCAGAGTACCACAATTCACATCTGTCTCTATTTTTACATCGTCTATTAGACTCAACTCATGTAGTTAGCCATCAACATAAATGAAAGTGTGTGGGTCCCAGCACCCATCGTCTAGGTACACAGCTTGTTACCCTACGCCAGTCTGCTTCCTCGCCCCTCGCTCTTACTTCTTGACTCCTGTTCATTAGGTACTCTTACCTTTGTCGGTGCCTTTTCACATAGGCAAGTCTGCCTCTCAAGTTTGTGCATTGTTACCACATTTGTCTTCAACAGTTGGGCAAATCTCACTATATAATAGAATTATTAATTATCAGAGCTAGAAGAATATCGTGGAACTATGGATCTTCTTTTAACATCCATGGTAATATATTGCCAAGTGCAATAGCTTTAGCTGCAATTCGTAATGCTAGTTGACTAATTACTTCCATTTCTGTTACCTCAATATTTGTCAATCTCTCGTTTAAAGATACCTCCTCCCTTAGCACTGGGAGCTATTCCGGTTCAGTCGTAAACACTCCGTGGAAACAGACATTAGTTCCTCGGTAATTTCTTTGTCATTTCTAGTTTGTTATTCTTCTCTTTTTCGTAATCTAGTCACTTGGGTATTTACCATCATTTTTCCTTCACATATAGCCATGTAATAACTTTGGTTGTTTCTTTGCAGTCGTTTTATATTTAAGGAGTCATTCCAAGCTCTGTTGCATCTATTCCGTTTATCTTCTGGCCTCTCTGTATTTTTCACTTCCTTCTGCTTTCTGTTTTAGCTTCCTGGCATTGTCATTTGAGCCATGGGTTATTATATTCCATCAAACATTTTTCCTTGACTATTTTTCCCCTCATTACCTCTCATTGCACATTTCTTTGTTTAATGTAACTACCTTCTTTGTAATCTATCCTCCTGCTCCTGACCGCTTGTCTTATGGTCACTGATTTTAGGTGAATTGACCTGAGGGCCACTATCTCTATTGACCTCGACGAGGACATGAAGTTTAAGTTTCTCTTTCCTTTTTCTAGCGACGTAATGTCTATTTCTTTCAGTATTTCTTCATACCCTATCCCTCGCAAACCTGGGACGAGATTTCTTATGTGTTTAATGAGATAAGGGTTCCATGATAGGTCGTGATGCTCTAAGAATGATCTCGCGTATATGGTGAACAGATATCTAAGTTCCTCCTTATTTAGGTTCCTAAATACTGTCCTGATTTTTGCCATTGTACAGCATTCTGTTGATGTTATCCTATTTATATGTATCTTTGGAGTTAGGCTTGGTCTTACATCCACTCCCAGTTGAGTAAATAAGGATGTGCTGTCTCCCCAGCCTCCGGAGCTGGAGCTGGAGGAGGACGATGAGGACTTCGAGGATGACGACCTGCCGTGCTCCGAGAAGAAGCAGCTCCTGGCTCAAGCCGACGACGTCATCAAGATCAGGATCGAGAACGTGTAGGGGCTACAATCATCCCTCATCCTTCCTCCCTACTATCTAAATAAAAAAAATTGATTGGGCAATCATCTCGAGTTGTAAGGTTAACAGGCACTAAGTATATTTAGTGCACACGTGTGTAAAAAAGCTAGGCTACAAAAACAAGTGATTCCCAATCTATGCCAAAGAAATTACAAAGAAGTCAAATAGTGCATCTGTTTAGGTAAACATGAGTAGTAGGGAAGGCGCCTCACAGGTACCTTTTTTTTCTGGGAGAAAAAAGGTACCTGTGCGCCCCAAGGGTTTCAGGTAAATTTAGAATATCCCCTGTGCGCCCCAAGGGTTTCAGGTCCAAAGGGAAAAAAGGTACCTGTGCGCCCCAAGGGTTTCAGGTAAATTTAGAATATCCCCTGTGCGCCCCAAGGGTTTCAGGTCCAAAGGGAAAAAAGGTACCTGTGCGCCCCAAGGGTTTCAGGTCCAAAGGGAAAAAAAGTGCCTGTGCGCCCCAAGGGTTTCAGGTCCAAAGGGAAAAAAAGTGCCTGTGCGCCCCAAGGGTTTCAGGTCCAAAGGGAAAAAAAGTGCCTGTGCGCCCCAAGGGTTTCAGGTAAATTTAGAATATCCCCTGTGCGCCCCAAGGGTTTCAGGTAAATTTAGAATATCCCCTGTGCGCCCCAAGGGTTTCAGGTAAATTTAGAAATTCGTGTTTGTGAGCCAGGGTTTTTCAGGCGAATTTGGGCAGTCACAGATTTTAGAAGTATGGATTTCTTATGAGAAAAATAATTTCCGAGACTTAGAAGTTTGTTAAAGCCTTATGGGAGAAATTCAAATAACGTGTGTAGCACTTTAGGGCTTCCAGGAGAACTCTACGGACATATTTTACATGTTTTCAACTTACAAAATCGTCTATGTAAGCCTTAGTTATTCATATAAATTTAGAAAATCACCTGTGTAAGTCATTGTTTTCAGGGTTTCGTACATCACACCCCCCTCCCTCCCCCCTTACCTCGCAATCTGTCGCGTCACCTTTATTTACTTTACGCCCGGCCAGCCAGACGGCTCTTATCATATCTTATCTCCATAATATCTCTACCGTCCCTCCTCTCTCTCTCTCTCCTCCTCCTATTTCCTTACAACTATTTTCAGAGTTTCAAATAATCATAGAAGTTTATTTATATGTTTATGACCGAATTTGTAAAAGGACCATTTTCAGAGAATATTGTCTTAGATGTTTTGTTAAGGAAAACAGACCACTTATCCATAACATTTAGTTTTATATCCATTTACGGCTATTTCACCTGTAAAGACCAAAATTGAACAGAGCCCAGTTTTAAGCTCATATTTCATCAGAGTCCAGTTCTTGATCGAAATTCATCAGAGTCCACTTTGAGAGCAAAATTCGTCAGAGTCTACTTTGTGAGCAAAATTAGTCAGAGACAGTATTTAGCTCATATTTCATCAGAGTCCAATTTATCAACAGAAATTCGCCAGAGTCTACTTTGAGATCAAATTAGTCAGAGACAGTTTTAGCTCATATTTCATCAGAGTCCATTTTATACCTAAAAATGAACAGAGTCCACTTTGTGAGCAAAATTAGTCAGAGACAGTTTTAAGCTCATATTTCATCAGAGTCCAATTTATACCTAAAAATGAACAGAGTCTACTTTGAGAGCAAAATTAGTCAGAGACAGTTTTAAGCTCATATTTCATCAGAGTCCAATTATCAACAGAAATTCGCCAGAGTCTACTTTGAGAGCAAATTTCATCAGTGTCCTGTAATCTGTGAAAATGTGACAGAGTCCAGTTCTTGATCGAAATTCATCAGAGTCCAGTTTTCTAGCAAAATTCGCCAGAGTCTACTTTGTGCCAAAATATTCAGAGTCCAGTTCATGATCGAAATTAATCAGAGTCTAATTAAAGACCCAAATTTGGCAGAGACCACATTTTCGCTGCTAGCAGTCCAATCCCCCTGAAATTTTAAACAGTCATATTTCAGACGTAGTAAATAAGATCAAGTCAGTTACAGAGCTCCAGCTCTTGTCCCCCTGTATTTGCATATTTTCTCTATATTCAGCTGTGTTCTTCACATTTTGTCCATGTTTTCTGTGTTCATTCCATGTTCTACAAATGTTCACAGCATGCTCAGTTCAAATCTTTTTCTGTTTTTTCTCATTTTTTCTGTAATCTTTCTCTTAGTCTCATTATGTTCTTACAAATTCTAGTCATATTTTCTATGTACATCATATGTTCTCTGTATAACTTTTATACACAATATTCATGTTCTCAATGTTCTAGCTTGTTCTTCACACGTTCAGTGTTCATTCTTTGTATTCCCTATGTTCCTTATCATGTCTTCATATTCTCTATAAGTTCATATTCCCTGCATGTTCACTCTATTCATCAACTTTTTCTTACATGTTTTCTGTGTTCACCGTATGTTCACTGTGTTCATTCCCTTACTTAACCTCAATTTTTTTATGTTCTTTGTTTCTTCCATTCACTAACTAGTTCTTTGTCAAATATTAGCATCAGCAATACAGTTTCCTCAACAATTTTAGTCACCAAGTTTTTATTTGCAAAAACTATGTCAAAGTAATTCTCGTAGTCAACTTAATAGTTCTACCAGCCATGTTCTTAAACAAATCTACACTTTATTCAGTTCCAAATTTACAAAGACAAACCTTTCTTGTAACTTCTTAACTAAAAATCTTTCGCCAATCAACTGAAACATAGTCACTTTCCTCATTTCTCAACTAACTTATTATCCAATCAACCAAAAATTGTCAAAGGAATCTTTCCAACACTGTTCATAACTAAACTTATTATCCAGTCAACTAAAAATAGTCAGAAATAGCCTCGTTCAACACTGTTCTTAACTAAAACAACCTTTCTCTTAGCTAAAAATTGTCAAAGGAAACTTTTTTCAGCACTTTCTTAACAGGCACTATGTTTCATCAAGAAAAAATTGTCAAAGGAAACTTTCCAAAACTGTTCATAACTAGCTTTTATCCATCGTCAATCAACTAAAATAATAACTTTCATCATTTCTTAACTAAACTTATTCCCCCAGTCATCAGAAATTCCCCAGTCATCAGAAATTAACCGTGTTCATCATGTTTCATTGTCATTTCATAACTAAAATTATCTGCCAATCATCAGAAAAAGTCACTTTCATCATTTCTTAACTAAGCTTATTCCCCAGTCATCAGAAAATAACCGTGTTCTTCATGTTTCATTGTCATTTCTTATCTAAAATTATCCGCCAATCATCAGAAAAAGTCATGTTCATCATGTTTTGGCTTTTGCTCAACTAAAAGTATTCATCGGTCAACTAAAAATAGTTACTTCATCATGTTTCCTTGTCATTTCTTAACTGAAATATCACTTCTCTCATCTGAAAATAGTCAGGATTAACCTCATTCAACACCGTTTTAACTAAAACAGCCTTTCGCTTAGCTAAAAATTGTCAAAGGAATCTTTTCAGCACTGTTCATAACTAACTTTATCCATCGTCAAGTAAGAAAATATAGTCAAAGATATCTATCATCGTCGTTCTTAACTGACATTTATACTTTGTGGAGCACTAAAATAGTCAAATGTAACTTTTTCAGCACTTTCGTAACTAAAATTATATGTCGCTAAGTAAGAAAAATAGTCAAAGGTGCTCTCCGTTACACCAAAGTTACTCTTCGAGAAATCAAAGACACTCTTCAATACATCAAGGACTTACTCAAAGACACCAAAGTTACACTCTAAGACATCCTTCGAGACATCAAAGACTTCCTTAAGACTTCAATGGGACTCTTCCATTCATCAAAGACATTCTCTAAGCCCTCAAAGTTATTCTCAGCACAATCAAAAGTTATTCCGAGACAACAAAAGTTATTCTCAGAACAATCAAAAGTTATTCCAAGACAACAAAAGTCATTCTCAGAGCTATCAAAATTATTCTCGGAGTCATCAAAAGGTATTCTCTAACTCACTTTGGTCATTAAAGTTAATTTCTATGTTATAAAAGTTTGTCTCAGAGACATCTAAAGTTAATCTTAGAGTTATCAAATGTAATCTCTAACTCTCTTTTGTTCATCAAAGTTGATCTCAGAGTTAGCAAAGGTAATCTCTAACTCACTCTCGTTCATCAAAGTTGTTTCAAAGACATCAAAGTTATTCAAAGAGCTAACAAAAGTTATTCTCAGAGTCACCTTCGTTCTTCAGAGAAACTTTCCAAAACATCTTTATTCATCAAAGTTATTCTCAGAGGCATAAAAGTCATTCTCAGAGCTATCAAACTTGTTCTCAAAGTCATCAAACTTATTCACAGAGTCATCAAAGTTAATCTAAGACATCATTTTTCATCAAAGATATTCTCTCTAAACCATCAATGTTCTTCTCTAAGACATAAAAGTTATTCTCAGAGTCACCTTCGTTCGTCAGAGAAACTTTCAAAACATCTTTGTTCATCAAACTTGTTTTCAAAGTCATCAAAAGTTAATCTAAGACATCTTCTTTCATCAAAGTTATTTTCAGAGACATCTAAAGTTATTCTCAGAGCTATCAAACTTGTTCTCAGAGTCATCAAATGTTATTCTCGAAGTCATCAAAGTTATTTTCAGAGACATCTAAAGTTAATTTCTATGTATAAAGTTAAAGTTCAATTCATCAGAGTTCTCCAATCATCAAAGATGTTCTCAAAATCATAAAAGTTATTCCCAGAGCTATCAAAGTTAATCTCAGAGTTATCCAAAGATATTCTCATGTCCACAAAAGTTATTCCAAGAGACGTCAAAGTTGTTTCAAAGACATCAAAGTTAATCTCAGAGTTATCCAAAGACATTCTCAGAGACATCTAAAGTTATTCTCTAAGACATCAAAGTTGTTCTAAGAGTTATCAAAAGTTATTCTCAGTCATGATATGTTATTCTCTAACTCACTTCCATTCATCAAAGACATTCTCTAAGTCCTGAAAGTTATTCTCTAAGACAACAAAGTCTTTCTCAGAGCTACCAAAGATGTTCTCTAAATCATAAAAGTTAATCTTAACTCACCTTCGTTCATTAGAGAAACTTTCCAATCCATATTCGTTGACCAGAGTTATTCTCAGAGTCATCAAAGCGATCTCTAATTCATCTTCGTTCTCCAAAGTTGTTCTCTAAGACACCTTCATTCATCAAAGAAACTCTCCTTCTTCCATCATGTTATTCTTTAAGACATCTTCAGTCATAAAATTTTCT